GTGAAACGGTTCAGCAGAATCGCACCGACTCTTACCTGGTACGGGCTGGATGCTCACAATCGGCACGTGGCTAGCTCCGCCCCGTCAAAAGCTGAATTCGATTCGCAAGGTTCATATCACCATTTTCACTCGGCGTCAGTCTGTCCATGTAGGGCTCGGCTCATTGATCATAGTAAATAGGAAATGCATGCCGAACATATTTTGACTATTTGTAAGAACGTTTCTCGGGTGTGATCCACTTTTTCGGTGTCGATGACTTCTTCACGCAAAATGAACGTACTTTTTAAGCGTTAGTAAAGAAAAAAGCACGACAAAGTGGAACTTTCATTAGAAATCACCATGCAGGTGCGAAAAGATGCGCAATTGCGATTGTAAATTTGTATCGTCACGACAATTGAATAATAGTTTATATATAAGCTATTTGTTTACTATATTAAGCTATATATATATATATATATATATATATAAGCTGTAATAAAGATGAGCAGTAGACCTACACAAGTAACGCAATATAAAAGGTGGGATTCTTTAAAAGCATATCCAGCAGCACCACGTTCCTGACTCCCTTGATTCGAGAAATTTCGTCATTTCATGTGATTACGATACTGGGAAACTGTCGATCGTATGACATGCACTCATGATGCCGAATATCGTAAAACGGACCTCAATCAGTTGGGTGTGTGCGTGTTGTATTGCATCATCAGTTAGCCGTGCACCTCAGTGCTTAGATTCGGTCCCGGTCGCGCACAGGCTGGAAATCAGGGGCATCTTACGTTTGATGTTTTGACTGCACAGGTAACAAAATACTGTCGATGACCCCAGTCATCTAACTCTCCACGCATACAGAACATGGGCTTTATTGGTAGACGGACGCTATCACAAGCAGCACATAAAACAAGCATTGATGCAACGGGCGAGGCTTTTGACCAGTGTCCAGTGATCCTCGTGTTGGTGACCACCAGTGTTGTGACACTTGCTCGAGTGCTACGTCATGTCATACAGATAGAATTAGCATATAGATATACACACACACACATATATATATATATATATATATATACGGATTGAGGTGCTCATATAATCTTTGAGCAATTGAAGGCCACAGAGACACAAAGTCAGTTGTCAGTTGGGTTCAAAACTGGTGTGGAGTTGGTTGTAGACACGTGCTTTTCCATTCGGTGTTCAGATATGCTGTTCGCTGTCCTGAATGCGGATGCCCAAACGTACTGGCTTCTGCCAAATTCGGATATTTTAGTAGGCCGCGTCTAATTTCTTGCCTTTCCATTCTGTAAACAGCTGGCGGTGTATCTGTGGTGTTTGAATTTACATTTCATATAATTGTATGATGATAACGTGATTCCTGAAGACGCATGCGACAATACCGCTAACGTGTTTCCCTGCGGAGGTGCGGCTGTTTAACATGCTCGTTTGTTGTTGCTGTTCAATTGTACATAATGTTTAACACTGAGCCCACAACTCAGTTGTTTTGCATGTTTTACTCACAACGTAGCAAAAGGCGCGCGGCCTTGGTCGGACTAAACTATGCTGAGTTTGGTGATGAGAGCGTTGCGTCTGAGAACAAGATTACACTTGGCTGATGTCCGCCTCCGCCGACCTTCGGCTGCTACGGCGGAGCCCTGCGAACGACGTGATCTTTTTCGTCAAATTACCTTGCAACCCAGCACCTGATTGGTTGTTAGCAACATGGTGAGAAAGCATTTCGTTTCGGCTGGCGGTTTCTGGCAAAACTTAGATTAAATATCACAGAAATAAAGAAGCCCAGCCCAGGGTTTGACTACTCTGCATGGAGTATACGAGTCGTAAGAATCATCCATTCGGGCTCTGCGACTCACGTCATGAATTAGGAGGGCATATTTTCATCTTTATTACGCACCGAGTCCAGGAGCGGGGAATTGGCGGGAGGGGATTGGGGGAACGGTTGCCCCCCCCCCGCCAGTTTCAGAAAAGAATCAGTTATATGCCATTTCATAGAAAGAAATGATTTAAAACTGATTTTATCGAATAATTGAACTAATTTGCAAATTTGCCTGAGATATATATGAGATTCTGCCCGACTTGGTCCGTCGCGATGGCTTAGTTGGTTAGAGTATCTACCATCCGATCCACCCGCTAGAAACGGGGTGGGTTCGAGTCGCTTTAAATGCTTGCTATTTGCCCGCAACAGGTCTACGCAACAAGCCCTGTTAACCGTGAGTTCTGATCCCAAAAATCCATTCATTTAAAATCTTTGGATTTAATTTTAAAAAAAGGAAAAATGGAACAGGCCAAAGGCGATTTGTCCTCAGAAGTTCGTAGTTTTCTGTAGTTACATGATTTTAATCGTCAGGCAATGATCTCATTTTACAACGTATGTTGCCTAGCTCCAAAACCTTTGTTGTGAATTTTTAGGGTTTCGCATGATGTGTAAGACGCTACTTTAACCTTCTCCATCCCATTTGCTGAAGGGATATACTTATACTCAACATTTTGCGCCTCTCATTGGGTGTACACTTTCTCTTTCGCAACCAAATTTATTAAACGTGCCTGGGCACGTTAAAATGGGCAGGTTAAAAATGGGCACGTTCAAATCCATCAACCGATACAAGTATGTAAATGCAGGTACAGGCAATCGATACCAATGCTATGAGATGGCATGTGATTGCCTTTGGACGTAACGCGCGTCACGATCGTTTCTCTCGGACCGTCACGTAAATGAGGTGCCGGAGGGCCATAATCAATATTATGCACCATTCATCAGCTATTCATGTCCATCAACCATTTATTCATTCATCATTCAGAGCGTCCATTGTCGACAGTAAATACGCCGATGAGGAATTAAAATCCAGTAATGGACGCAAGCATATATGTACAGGTACAGGTATTCAATGGTCATATCATGAGGTCGCATAATATGATATTTTGGCGTAACGCCCGTCACGACATTCTCTCTTGTTCGTCACGTGATGTATGAGCTGCCGGAAATCATTAGTCGACAGCCAGACACCATTAGATCCCTTAGCACAGCACAACCTTCCTATTCCTTGCATAACAACACTGCCATTCATTGCCATGTCACACAAATGGGCCCCGTTCCATGGGCTGCCTTCGACGTCTGCAAAAAGCTCTTTCCAGGAGCCTGATCCTCATGGGTAAATGTTCGGGGCACAAGTGACAACAAACTGCTTGTTTTGCGCAAACTGGCTACCATTCATGTAAGAGTACTAGCCACTTTCATTTGTCGGACATATGCCGTTTAGAAAAATTTGCCGTTGGCAGAGCCACCATTTTTGTTATGGTTCTCTCCCACCAGTGATATACTGGCTTGTCACGGCGCCCATTTTCGGTCCACTGCGTCACAATGCTGGTATCCTAGTCATGCATTGCCTCCCTGCAAAACCCATGTAGAGTCTCGGAATTTGCGAATATACTTCAGTATCAGAACCGAATGAATCCACTCCCCCTCCCACTCCCATCTCTCACCTCGTAAAATTTTTTGCTCACAAATGCGTGCCATGTAATCCGTTTGTCTGGTTAGCACGTCTGGCACGCTATGTTGACTGCAAAACCTTTTCATCCTTTTTGTTTTTTAACACGCGCCCAGGGGCCGATTAGATGCTCTTTCCTCGGGTGGGGTTAATTTCGCCTCAGATGTCAGGAGCCAAGAGTGATATAGATACCAAACTCATCGTGCGTGTTAGCCTGTACTTGAAGTCACTAATGTCAAAGTTGAAGGTTAAAGGATCATGACCTTCGGCTCAAATGAGGTCAAACAAAGTCAAACTCCAGGATGGTCTCTTAAATACCCCCAGAACCTAGATACCTGTTCTAAGCAAGAGGTAACATGCTCATCAAGGTCAGTGGCCTTGTTCGACCTTTCGGAGTCCAAGGTGACCAAAATCACACAAGACTGCTTCGAGTTCCGTATTTAAATAAGCGTCAAAGATCACGCTAGGCGATATATTCCTGAAAACAAAATGCTGACCCGGGTCATTTTAAGTCAGTGACCTTTCCTGACCTTTCAAAAGTCCATGGGAGATGCATAATGCGGTTCCTGTTAACACTAAATTCAAAGTAAACACCAGAAACCATCCCATACAACAAGCCCAGAGTAAGAAAGCAGGTTGGTTATGACCTGGCTCGGACCTTTATACCTATCTATATGTCAATTAAATTTGTGCATTCAATTGTTGTGTTGCCTAAGGAAGTATCTCAGATATGTATGGTTTCGTCTAACACACCGTTGCTGGATCAGATTGAACGATGTCCTACAAATTGACTTAGATGATGATGATGGTAATGACTAAATACATGGCCTGAGTTTGACTTACGGTAGGTCAGGGAACTTTTAGGGTACTTCTCAGTTTTTTAGGCCAAACCATCTGCTATTCAATTGTCTACAGCTATGTAAAATCTGGCGCGGCGTCGCCGCGCCGTTCAGAATCATTTCGGACGAACCTTTTCCCCGCACCCAACGCGTGTTAAGCTCTATAACTTAGTATTTTTCGTTACTTACTGAATAACATTTACCTCAACCGCTGTGCCCGTGGTTCCCAAGGATGTTCGGGGTAACTTTTTAAGTTTTTCACAATGCTTCTCACCGCAAAAGCGTCCAATTTTTCGTAGCTATTCGGCTAAATGCACATGCACTCACACAACATAGCGTGCTGCGTAAGCTTCGCCAGATTTTACCTCGACAGGTAACATTACAATTAGTTAGAGACTGGTGGTGTTTCGAGCAATTGCGAAAAAAACAAGTTGCACATTGAAATCTCAATGCCAGGAACAAAAAAATGAGGTTTTGCCACCACTCTCCCTTTCATAGTGTCCACGAATGCTACCCCGGAGCCGTATTAATACGCTGCTGCCTCAGTTGGTACCGTGCTTTCGTCTCTTGTAATGGCAAATAACGTCAGCGGCTTAAGTTGTTCGTTAATTTGTTGATTGAATACCACCGTTGTATTATGATTCCCGCCCTTTAAGCGAGACTCTTCTCATGGCAGGAAACTTCACGTGCGTGGAGGTGGTGTTCACCTTCAAGCGTCGACTCGGCTACTACCTCTTCCACACGTACATCCCCACCTGCCTGATCGTCATCATGTCGTGGATCTCGTTCTGGGTGCGGCCAGAGGCCGTGCCGGCCAGGGTCACCCTGGGCGTCACCTCTCTGCTGACGCTCGCAACTCAGCACTCCAACTCACAAAAAGCCCTGCCGCCAGTTTCCTATATCAAGGTAAGAGGAATTTCTGTGATTCTTAATGTGGCCTCATGTGTAAGGTATGTCAGACATAACGATGTCTTGTGCATAGGATACTTAAGCCTAAAAATCTGTCACGTCGTTTGAAGCAAGGCGTAGCATAGCTGGAGGGAGGATGGAAGTGGAGGGTGAACCAACAAGCATCAGTATTTTGGTAATATGTTCTGTGATAGATTATCACGAATTATAACACAAGCCAGTCAACGTCGGCTTGCCGTTCGTTAGCTTCAGCTCGCGGGTTCACTTGAAGCAGTCTTGTTTGCCGTGTGTGCAGAACGTCAGCAGACCCAGCTGGATCTCCTACCGCGGCATGTGCAGACATCCGACGAAAGCCCATCATGCAGTAAAAGTGCTTTGCGTTGCGTAATCGCGTATCATTGAGCCGCAAAGCGAAGCAGCTTCGAGTTGTCCAGTCCGTGCAAGTAGCTTAATGATCACAACTAATTTTGTGATGTTTCCATCACAGGCAATCGACATCTTCATGTCATCCTGCATGGTGTTCGTGTTTCTTTCGCTGATGGAGTACGCCGTTGTCAATATCATACTCGGCGACTTCATCGACTCGGACGAGGGCATGTCCAAGAGCAACGCACGCACCTCCGTGTTCGTCCACCCCAACAAGCTGCTCTACAAAAATGTAAGTCGTGAACGCTCTCCAGCCATTCTCCATCCATCACAACATTGAGCGACAACCAGCTGCCTGCTCCTTCAACAGTATGTAGTACTGGTACGGTCCGTCTCGTTATTGTCTGATTCACACACATCCTTCTTGTTCTTGTTCTTCCAAAAATATTTTCATGTACCCCGCAGGTTTCTCAGTTTCACAAGTTTCTCCCACAGCTTTGTCCTCATATGTGAGCAAACTGGCACGCTGGCAAACTGGCTCTCTTAATCCGCGCCCTGATTCGCCATTTTTTGCTGTTCTAGCTCTGTTAGTTTATTAGTTCAAATGGGTTAAAAACGTTTCCATCCCACCCGAGTGCGTTGTGTTTAACCGGCCACTCGGGCGCGTGCTAATCGAAAAGTAAACGAAAACAATGCCTGCGATGTTTTCTTGAGAGTTACGCCAAAACAGAGCAGCGTTCCCTTGTCCGCCAGTACATGTGCCTGTCCCCTGGAGCACCAACTTTCCTCAGTGACAGAGATGTAGAGCTCCCTATTCAGCTGTGGGGGGGGGGGGGGGGGGAGCAGCCCCAATTGGGTTCCCCCACATTTGAGAGAAAAGTAGGCCAGATCCGGGAGAAACCCGTACATCGGTGAATTTCACGGGTAGCTTTCATATTTTTTTTCACAGTTCAGCTCACCTCCCCCGCCTGATCTCAATTTGCGAAACCGCGCCCTTGCTCTTGGGTCCAATTAAGAGCTAAGCACTTTGAAATGATTATCAGCTGGTATATTAAAAGAGCTACTCCCAATTTGTAGGGGGGATAAATTCCTGCGAATGTAGAGGGGCCACTCGTGCAGAAAATCTGTTGCACAGCTACCAAATAAGGGACGTTTTCTTGCTGGCCTGCTAGATCCTCACAATAGCCAAACCGAAGCGACATACCTCGCTGCGGGTGCGGGACGGGGTGACAACGTAGTCGTAAGGGTTATTGAAGTCAGCTCGAAGATAAAAAACAACGAAACTGGGCGAGGTGAGCGAATTGTACACTCAAACGTAAAGCACTTTCAAATGAGCGGCTCTGGTCCGAATACCTCAACGGGATTCCCCTAAGCGAAGTACTTGGAGTTTGACATCAAAGGCGTACACAGAGCGCGTACGGTGAAAGGCCTACGGTAATACGCTGTGCGCAACACTATAACGGCATTGCGCTCAGATAAGTGGGGACGTTACGGTCAGAAGAACACAGGGGTGTTATATGTGGAGCGAAGACGACGATATTAACCAGTGCTGGGTGAAAAGAGGAGACAGGGTGAGGGGGGGGGGGGAAGGACAGAGCATGCAAAAACCGAGCCCCATACTGTAATTGGGCAAAACTTGAAAATTTTTTATCGAACTTGTTGACGAGTGTTTTTTCTGTTGAATTTCTTATTTTGCTGTGCTAAGCTGTGCTACCATCCTTTTCCGCCCTGTCCTATCATGCCATCTGCAGCCCTTTCCTGACTTATTTTGTCTCCTGTTCTGCTATGTTGTCTCCGGCCCTCTGCTTTTATCTTCCCCTGCATCCTGCTCTACCTTGTTCTTCCTCATCTTGCTCCGGTTGTCAACTTGCCTGGTCCTGTCCTATTGCCTCCGTCGTCCATCTCCTGTGTTCTGGCTGTAATGTCATGTCAAGCGATAGGGGTTCTCAAATCTCTATGGAGATTGCTCTACAATCTCTATGGAGATTGGAGAACATTCACATATTCGAAGTTTTCCAATCTCTATGGAAATTGGAGAACAATGAACGTAAGTTTAGCTCTGTTTCATGTGTACTGCATGTCAATGTCTGTGATTTTATCCCTCCCCTATTTTCCCAGTAGAATGCGTGTTTTTCAACTCTTCCATTAACAAATACCACTTTCGGTCAGACTGTCTCCTCTAGACATCAGTTTCACCCCCCCCCCCCCCTAAACTGCTTGGTACTCAGCGATCTCCAAGACGTGATTACGCCTTTGTTCAAGAAAGCCCCCCCCCAAGAAAATCGAAGTACTTTAGCTTAATCCTGTTGCTCAAAATCAGTTAACTTTGATTATTTTGCGGCTCCCGACCCGTTTTTGTCTTATTCCGTTGTGTTGATAGGTCGATACAGTGTGTATAAATCCGAAAATTTGGATGAAAATCCACACCCTACCACGTTGTGATTAACCGCACTTTAGTTTTCATCCTCCCTTCAGGGCTTCCATTGGATTCTTAGGCTGCATGACATTTAATAATTTACTTGCAGAGGGCAGACATCAGAGCACAAGCAACAAACGTGACAACGATGAAAACCCCAACTTGCTGAAAACCCCAACAAGCTGTATGTGTCTTCAGGGCTTAGTGATTGTAACTGCTCCCAAAATGATGTTTCCACATAGCCGACAGAGTAACGGAAATATCGGGGTCTCCCCAAAAAGGAGGAGCAGGTGCCGTCGAAAAGCGATCACTGGACCCAACTTGGGTTTTTTTATTTTCAAAACATGAATTGCGCCTTGCATTACTGCTGTTGATAAGTTTTATGTCTTATCCTCACATTCTAGGCGATTTTTTCACCGTTGTGAAATAGTTCGGAAGTGTAATATTGTTCCATGGTGCTAAAATATGTGTCATCGCTTTAACCAGGCTTGTTGCAAATACACGGTCGATCTCAGCTATTTATGTTGCGAACTTTCGTCTTCCAGGTTTTAAACAATGATGAAAATGATTGCTTTGGTATTTAAAGCTACTCAAGTGGTAGTTTATGTGTAATTTCTTTTCTTTCTCAGGCATACCTTGCAAGATCTCTGGAAAAGTTAACACGCTTTCTCGAAGTGATGTCGATGCCCACTTAAATTTGGTAGCATCTTTGCTATTAGTTATGGCCTGGGAATCCGATTTGAAAGTGCAACATATACGCACAATATTTTAATTCAAAACTTTTTGTTTCCGCTTAGTCAACAATTATTTGTTTACCCTTGCGATTGAGCATCGCTTGATTACAGCGTCTCTAATTTTGCATCTAAATCTGCCAATGCCGAAAGGCTTCTGCTGTGCTCAAAAGCTTCGTCGTCGAAAAGTTTAGGCTCGTGTCTGCGTTTCACCTATAGTATTCTTGACCCATTGTCTGATGCGTGAGTGGCAGCGCGTGGAGGTGGCACCTAGACAGGTCCCCATCGGGCGCTTACGTTGCTGTGCTTCTCGTCGCAACTGACATATCTGTGAATGTGAAATTGAGGGCTTGCGGTGGAAGCCAGAAAGGCTTATAATGCCGTAGCTAAATATATTTTGTTGTATGTGTGTGTTCATGCAAAACGGAGGACAACCTTTCATTAGATGTTGATAACCACTGTGAACATGGGTAACGCCTTTGACATCGCCGTGTGTGGTCTCAGGCATGGGCGTAACCGCGTTTCTGCAATGTGCGGGGTGGGGGAATTAGGACTGGAAAGGTCAATTGGAATCTGAGGTGTCACAGCCTGGCAAATTAATTTCAGCAGTTTCATTACAGAAATTTCAGCGGAAAAATAAATGCGTGCATTATTCACCAAGCAAGCAAACTTCTATTTCGTGAAATTGGGGGAAATATCCCTCCCTCCCCCCAGTGGTTGCATTCATGGCCCTGGGCGTGTTTATCAATTTGCATCTTGATTTGTTCTATATTTGGCACTCGGACAAATATGGGATGGACAATTTATTCTGGCATACCTTCTTGTAAATAAATGCACCCAGGTTATCAAACCTAAATTTGATTGAATTTCCAAGTCATTCTGTCTATTTAATGCACAAACTTTGGGTTAAAATGCCAAGCCGTTTTAGGGCGATCTAAGCCTCATACGCAAACCCTCGCCCTCATGCAGCGGGAAGGGCTTGTGAGCTCTCTAAGCTTTTCTTGAATTGCCTCTCCGGTCTGTACAATCGCACCTAAATTCTCAATAGCCTCTGGGGCAACTGTTGCGTGCATTTTGACTCCATATACGTATCTGTAGCTTGTCTTGCTTCTGAGAAGCGATAGTTCGTTATGAATACTGCACGGCGATCCAGTCCCTGAGCGGGCGGCGGGCGGCGACAGACGATTCCGCGAAATTGTGCGGCGACCGGCGCTGTCACATCAACGGAGCCCGACATCGGAAGCGTTTACTCAGAACATTTAATATTGCATACCACTGTACTCAGAATTAGACAATGAATTCGTCTGTTGAAGTTTTGTGTCGCCACAAGTGTTGTCCTGTCGATATGAACATGTAAAACCGAGAAAGTTTTAGCTCAGGAAACGTTTGTGTTTGGCCTGGCTTTCCGGGGCCGATCTAGCAACACTCAGCTTGTCAATCGCGAGATCTTGTACAGAGCAATCCACTGTAGTTTTTATACATGGCTCTATCATTTTTTAGTCTGACATCTGTCGAGGCTCGGAGCAAGTTATTATCTGGCTTTCAGTTTTGCCCATAATGTATCGCCGTTCGCCAAGCAATAACCGAGATACCCCAGGGGTCCCCCGCAGTCCCACCAACGCGCTGAACCAGACCAGATGTTGATAGATCGCTGACTTCCGACAATATCCCGCTGACACTGGCCCACGTAGTGTCTCTACATCATTTCTTCATCGTTGATAGTGAAGGGCCTCCCAAAAATAAACAGTAGTTTAATTGCATTGGAGATTGTGGCATGTTTCCGATTCATTTGGTACCGCCTATTTTCCTGATTTTGCCGGGAAGTAATAATTTGGCAGCTTGGGTCCCAACACGGGCCCAATGAGGGATGAGTGCCACATTGCGGTGCATCCGTTGTGAAAGTGTTTTGGCAAAGATAACAGGCAAAAGTCGACATGTGCCATGAGTTCAGAATTTGCTGGGGGTTGAGAAGCGCCCACCGGACACATCTTGCTCGTTCTGCGTATCTTGAATGAGAGATTTGTCGGTAGGCATAGTTCTCTTCAATTTATGCGATGCTGTGAAAAGTTGGCGTCTTTAACGTCTGCTGAGTTGCGATCATGCCAACATGACTTTGTCGGTGTATGATGTACTCTTTCCAGCTAG